CTTTTGAACAGTGGCTGCTTTGTTTCCCCGATGAATAACTTGTCGCAGTCCTCCTGGCACTTAACAGCATATACAATATTGCAGAAGCATTGCAATGTTCTTCTTCTTCTGTAAATGCAACATTGCATTTACAGAAGCAAATGTCCTTCCTTAAAGGAATGCGTGTCACCTGCAGCTGTCCTGACAGAGTTTGCACAATGAGTAGCAGGGAACGATTTGAGCTGTAAAGTTTCCTGAATTATTACCAATTTTATGTTTTCTGAGTTCACTTGTTTATGTTGTGGACATTTTGTTTTGTTAGCTATCTCTTGCAGATAAGATTGAATCCAAACGTTAGTTACTTGCAGACATATACATCCGTATTTGCTCAAAGTCTTGTTAAAATCTCTCCAGTGGTTCATGGGATATTTTGCTAACAGACAGACACACACGTACACCAGTAAAAAAATATCATTGCCTTTAGTCTGTTTCAGTTTATTGGCATGTTGAATTATGCTGAGTATTGGATTTAACAAACACTGCATAATAAAGTGTTCCGTTCAGTGAAATCACCCCTGGTGTCTTACAGAACACGAACGACAAGCCTTCAGTACCAGAGTACAAGATGGCAGAGGTGCAGARGTCACGCTTCGTTCTGCTCCACTACAGTATATCAAAGAGTCTGTGGGATTGGCTCATCCTACTGGCGACCTTCTACGTGGCTGTCTCTGTGCCCTACAACGTCAGCTTCTGGCAGTACGATGACTCYGGCACTTCTGAACGTGCCACCATCGTGAGTGATATCCTGGTGGAAGTGCTGTTTATTATAGGTGAGTGTGGRCAAGTGGCTGATTGAAAACTGATGAGGTTTCTTTTCTAAGCCTAATTTTTTGCTGCAGTGATTGCTTGTCGTGCCTTACCTTATGTGTATTTTGATTTAAAGGTATGGTTTGGTTTAATGCAGATCACCTTGGCACTAAAAATGGATTTCATGTTCAATATTTCATTGATATTAACACGGCTCTATGTTATAGGASATAAGTTCCTCATAATAACTTTGTAATTGCAGACATTATCCTGAACTTCTGTACCACCTATGTGAGCAAGTCAGGTCAGGTGGTGTATGAGCCACGCTCCATTTGCATTCACTACGTCACCACATGGTTCTTTGTGGACTTGGTGGCTGCCTTGCCCTTTGACCTATTGTATGTCTTCAATATCACTGTGGTAAGTGTTACGATAAAAAGTCCAGCTTCCCCTCTTGCGTTCTTTGATTTGAGAAACGTTTCCCATATTGTTTTAGGGCAAATATGTCAAACTCAAGGCCCGCTGGCCAAATGTGGCCCATCATGGCTTTTATGTGGCCCGAAAGTGATTCAAAGATGTAATAATGTCTTCAAATAAACGTATACTGCTTTAAAGTCAGCGCTTACCACAAACTACATCTCCCATAATGCACGTTGATTATTTTACCTGCAAAATGAAGACATCCCACCACTAGTTGAAAGTGCACAGGGTTCAAAAGCATCCTGCAGGCGGCAAAGTTTGCCATGTAAAATCTCCACTGCATTGTCACTGGCAACTTTTGCTGTGGTCCAGTTGTACTGTGAGAAGTGAGAAGTTTTAAGCTTAAACTAAAATGCTCCCTCCAGTGGGAATTCACTGTTAGAAAGTGGGAGAGTTCAGAATTCAAGACAGCAGCTACTCACCACGTAGTACTTTTCAGTCTTTACAARAGTTCATGTTAAAATGCTGCTTTTATGCAGGAAATACCGCATAGAGCTCCACCATAGCAGGAAGTTTTATGTTTAGTCGAAATTAAACAGTAAAACATCAAAGTTAGTCAAAGCTGGCCCTTTGAGGGCTGTTCATGTGGCCCTCGGTAAAAATRGGTTTGTTTTAGAGTGAACCAGTTTTTTGTGAAGTTAACTGTCTAGTGTTTGGCATTTCTCAGCTTTTGCTATATTGAACTGTGGATATTGTTTGAACAGTCAGGWTCTTATAAAACAAATTTCATGCATGACAGAGACTAAAACTTCTCATTTCTGTCCCTCTGCCCCTCTCTGTTCAGACCTCCATGGTCCACTTGCTTAAGACGGTACGCCTCCTGCGTTTTCTTCGACTTGTTCACAGGCTCGAYCGCTACTCTCAGTACAGCGCCGTAGTGCTGACACTGCTGATGTGCACCTTTGCCCTGGTGGCTCACTGGATGGCCTGCATCTGGTACCTTATTGGACACAACGAGCTAGCAACCAGTACCAAGTGGAAAGTGGGTGAGTCTGCTCGTGAAATAAAAATTTACCATCGTCACTATTTTACCCTTTTCTCTACGGAATGCACAAGGAGACATGAGGGATTTTTTTTTCTTTTTGCGTTCCCTCGCAAAAGTCGTTTATCACTGTTGTGCCTGCCGGTTTATTAACAAATTCACATGCTCACCATTAGCAAGTTAGCCTACTGCTTTAATTCAGCTTCAGAATGAAAATATTACACAGCCACACATGGAAGTATGTCATTTGCCGATATTTTAAACACGCTGCAGCCACGCAACATCAATGTCAATTTCACGAACTTGTGGCGAGACATCCGGTTTTGGTAAATGAATATTTCAAAATAAAAGTCTGATTTAATTCAGTTCATATACAAAACAATTTTTTTGCATGGGAACGCAAAACAATATTGCAAGGTAACACAAAGGTATTGCGAGGGAACGCAAAGGTATTGTGAGGGAACGCAAAAGTATTGCGAGAGAACGCAAAGGTATTGCGAGGGAACGCAAAAGTATTGCGAGGGAACGCAAAAGTATTGCGAGGGAAAGCAAACATATTGCGAGGG